TTGTGGTGTATGATCTTTTTAGTGTGATGCTGAATTCAGTTTGCTAGTATTCTGTTGAGGATTTTTGCATTTATGTTCCTTAGGGATATTGGTCTGTAGTTTTCTATTTTTGTAATATCTTTGTCTGATTTTGGGATCAGAGTAATAATGGCCTCATAAAATGTGCTTGGGAGCCTTCCCTCCTTCTGTACTTTTTGGAATAGGTTGGGGAGAATAGGTATTAATTCTTCTTTGAATGTTTAGTAAAATAAACCTGTGAAAACACCTTGTCCAGGACTTTTGTTTGTTGGAAGCTTGTTGATTAGTGATTCAATTTCTTTGGTAGTAATCAGTCTGTTCAGAGTTTCTGTTTCTTCTTGGTTCAGACTTGGGAGATTGTATTCTTCTAGAAATTTATCCATTTCTTCCAGACTCGAATTTGTTAGCATATAGTTGCTCATATTATTATTTTTTTTTTACAATTTTCTGTATTGCTGTGGTGTCTGTTGTCACTTTTCCTCTTTCATTTCTGATTTTATTAGTTTGGGTCCTCTCTTTCTCTTGGTGAGTCTGGCTATGGGTTTTTTTATTTTGTTTATCTTTTCAAAAAACCAGCTGTTGGTTTCATTGATCTTTTGTATTTTTTTTTTAATCTCTCTTTCATTTATTTCTGCTCTGGTCTTTATTATTTCTTTTCTTGTTCTCCCTTTGGGCTTGTTTTGCTGTTCTTTTTCCAGTTCCCTTAGGTGTAAAGATAGTCCTTTGATTTGAAATCGTTCTTGCTTCTTAAGATAGGCCTGCATTGCTATGAATTTCCCTCTTAGGACTGCTTTTGCTGCATCCCATAGATTTTGGTTTGTTGTGTTTTCATTTCTGTTTGTCTCAAGGTGTCTTTTGATTTCCTCCTTGATCTCAGTTTTCACCCACTCGCTATTTAGTAGCATGTTATTCAGCCTCCATGTATTTGTGTGCTTTCCGGGTTTCTTCTTATAGTTGATTTCTAGTTTCATAGCATTGTGGTCAGAGAAGATGCTTGATATGATTTCAATCTTCTTAAATTTATTGAGACTTGTTTTGTGTCCTAACATGTGGTCTATCTTGGAAAATGTTCCATATGCACTTGAGAAGAATGTATATTCTGTTGCTTTGGGGTGAAATGCTCTAAAAATATTGATTAAATCCAGCTGGTTTAAAGTGTCATTTAAGGCCACTGTCCCCGTGTTGATTTTCTATGTGGAGGATCTGTCCATTGGTGACAACAGGGTGTTGAAGGTGTTACTGTTGATCTCTGTCTTTATGTCTGTCAAAATCTGTTTTATATATTTAGGAGCTCCTATGTTGGGTGCATAGATGTTTACTAGGGTTAT